AGGGGAAGAAATTCTGAAAAATGGTCTGGTGTTTTCATGGGGTTTTTTTGTTTTTAATTTGCTCATTTCTTCCAGCAGTCCCCATTTGAAACGGTTCAGTTAGCAAATCAATAAATATGCTGACTTGTCAATAAATACGCTGACTTGTCAATAAGTCTGCATGCTGTGGTGGTATCTTCTTTCTATAAATTAAAGAAAGTCTGACTTTTCAGGTGGAGAACAATTACAAGAAATCAAAACTCATCTAAGTTAGCTGAAAATCACATCTTATTAGTTTCAAATATTTGTGATTCCAAGTACAGATTAATAGAAAGATAATTTAGCAAGTATGTCCCATGAACATTATTAGCAAAGCTTAACAGAAAACTGTTTCTGGGAATGTTCTTATCCCCTGCCAGATGAGATTATTTGTTTTTATATTTAAACTCAAAGCCTTTAAGGTGATAATATGTTCATGGATCAGTTAGAGAGGATTTAGTCCTGATTAATTTGATCTTCTCTTCAGTAAACAGCTGTTATTTTTACATGACCAGAAGTCACTTCATTTTCTTTGAGTAAGAGCACCCCAATTTTCCTTGGATAGATAGGTATCTACCCAATTCCCTACTCTTAGCATTTGCTGTTTGACCTTTACTCTCTGACTGGGAAAGGGAATGGCAGACAGATAGATAAACCAGGTCTGGCCTATAAAAGCCCAATTTCCTCTGGACCAGTTTAGGAGTAAGCATATAACACAAGCTTGCTCAATATGCATCAGCCCAGAGACATATTAGCAAATACTACAACTTGAACTTAAGGAGAAAAGTTAACTGAGAAATAATTCAATATGAAGGAAGCAAATCTGAATGATACAAAGTACATTCCTGGAACCAGCAGTTAAATACCTGCATCTACCTGTCTCTACTAGAATTATCCTTGGCCATTTAGTTACATGAGCCAATAAATTCCCCCAAGTTAAAAGCCAAATCAAATTATTTTTTTGCCATTAATACCAAAAACATCTTTCATTGGATCCACAGTTTCAATTTACGGAACTTGAAGGACACCCCAAGATTTGGCAACCTTTTAAAGAAAGTTAAAGGAAGGTGGCAAAACTTATCAAGGGGCACACACTGCATACTGCAAGTCTGTTCTGGGGTAGAAGAGACCAAAATGTTAAATGCAGCTTTTAAAAATAAGGTCAAAAGTAGGGAGGCAACATACTTCTATTAAAGAAAATATTCTGAAAAACAGAAACTTAAATTTGCAATGGGGCCTGCTAAGTGCAAGAGGGAGGACAAAGTCACATCCAGAGACAGAGAGAAAAGCTCAGAAGTAAAAAGAACCAGAGGGCAAAAAATGACTTCTCTGGCTTTTTTTTTTTTAATGGTTCAGGAAGATGCCCAGGGAACTCAGGAAGACTGGTTCAGTAAACATCTCACCAGAGGGAATAGGTTTTTCTGATCATCAATCCTGTAAAAATTTAGCCAGCTTTGAGAAAGACAGAGGGGAGCTTTCTGTCTTAAATCTCCGTCTTCCTGTGGGTGCAATGGGGCATGCCAGTGATCCCAGCTACTCAGGAGACTGAGGTAGGAGGATTGCAATTTCAAGGCCAGCCTCAGCAACTTAGGGAGACCCTGTCTCAAAAAATTAAAAAAGGGTTGAGGACGTAGCCCAGTAGCCCAGTGGTAGGGCAGTTGACCTCCAGCACTCAAAAAAAAAAAAAAAACAAAACCAAAACAAAACAAAAAAAAACCTTCCTCTTTAGGAACTGGAGTGGTGATTAGAGATAGGGATACAGATAGCTTTTACAAGAGAAGGCAGAGTAGGATAAAAGGAAGAAAACATACATACGTAGATTTAGCTAGATTATGTTAATCAGAAATTTCTCAGTCTCACCCAGCTCTGGTCAGGCTAGGGGGTGCAGCCCTTCAGTCTCTACTCAGTATAAGGAAATCTATGAAGTTTTTCAAGAGCTTCTGAAGTAGAGAGACAATACAATGTGTAAGAATTGGACCTAAGAATTAGGAATGTATTTTGCTTTTGAAGAGAAAGGAGAATGGCAAGTTTTTAGTGAACTTTATTCTTAAAGTTTTGTCTGCACCACATATCATCTGCTAAATTATTTAAGCTTTAGTTTTTAAAAAAGGTATAATCATGAGCTGCTGAAAGCTTCAGAACTTAAAACCGTCCCTCATAAGGTTGTTGTGAGATGCAGCTAAGTTATAATGCACAGCAACTACTCTTTAAACAAGAAAATGATTTTTAAATTTTATATCTAAGAGTATATCTGTTTACTGAGTCTCAAGTTAATTAAAACTAGAATAAAACAGAATAACAACAGTATTTTCTAAAAAAAAAAAAAAAAAAAAAAAAGGCTACCAGTTTTGGTGCAATATACAGGCAGCATTTTGTGAAGAACCTAAGTGATTTTTAAAAATAAGTAAGATACATCCAAGGATTCTTAACTGCAGAAAATTTACTACAATACCAATAAAACTTCTATAACACCTAAGAGTCAGAAGGCTGAAGTTCCTTGTAATAAGCCCCAAAGCTTCTAAGAGGAACTTGTGAAAGAAGACAGCCCTGAACTGAAAAGTATGTTTTATACCATTGTCAAAGCAAAAGAAAGTGTTGAAGGTTCCAGCATCACTAAGATCCTGTTAAAGAACCACGTATGTCTCAAGAAGGGGGCCAGTTGGCAAAGTTTTTATATGCAGAGACTCTGAAAACACCAGAGAGGGAGGGGATCTTGAAACCTATGTTATATGCTACCATAACAGGAAAGTTGAGGCAGAAATGTTCCTGGCTAGGCAAACATGGGGCAGTGGTTTGCACCTAAGATGAAGCCAACATATTACAGTGCCAGGAACTTCACAAAATGTTTAGGCTTAGCTACCCTAGTCAAACTAGCCTTAAAGTTTTATCAAGAACAAAATTTAATAAGCCCTGACACTACTACTAGAACAAATATAAATGGTATTTATTCATGCCCTTCTTTCTCAAAGAAAGTATATAAATAGGAAAAAAAAAACAAAGCAAAAACTTCATTTGGTGATCTCAGTGKTTTACAGTAGTGATACAAGTGATAGACTCACACTAGATAACACTTTGTATACCTTTTAGCAAGGGTCCATCAGACTCAAAGGTGTTATTAGCATTTGTCCAAAGTAGATCTAAAATACCTGCTTTAAACTGATTTAGATGCTGCAATTTCATCTAAAAGTATAAACTTAATGTGAAGAACTTGTAAAATTGCTCTGATAAATAGAATCACTTTGGAAATAAAATTTAATATACCAGCTAAAAAACATCAAATTCAATAAAATCTATGTTTGCTCATTAACTCACAATGGAGGATTTGAAGAAATGAACAATAATTCTGCCTTAATAAGAAAGCTGCTTTTGTGCCCTTTTTTGATTACATGAAAAAACTTCTCCCTGGGCAAACAAATACATAGCAATAAGAGGAGGAAAATCTTACCACAGGCAACTAAGATAGAAAAGTTAGTTTTAACAAACAATGATCTGAAATGCTAAGGAAACATTTAGCAACTCTTCTAATTTTGAGCATAAATTTCAGAAATTTCCAGCTGAACTTTAGGAAGAAAAAACAAATCCTACTGAACTACAACTTACTGGGTTGGGGAGCAGCACCCCGGGTAARGTGGGTCAAATCACAGGGAAAACAAAATTCTTTGCAAAAATCCAGTAATCAGTGGAACAATAGCTGCTTCTGCTCTGAGTAAGTCCTCTTGAACCAGAGCTCCCAAATGCCAAGGAAATAAAGACTGACATATATTCAGGCTAGCTAAATATATATTCATATTACCAGTGATGTTACAAAATGTATTTCCTGCCTTTTGTCTCTCTTTGCCTCCTTTTCTCTTACAAAAGCTTTCTGCACCCCTGAGTCCTTGAAGTTGGAGATTTGGGACAGAGAGGAGACCTCTGTCTTACTCAAAGTCAGCTTTGAATAAACCTAATTTCCTCTCAACTGGTCCCTGGAATTTCTATGGGGCACCATGAGGGTAAAGCCTTTCTCTCACTATTACACCTTGAAGAAAATATCACACAAGAGTGGGAATCATGTAAATAAGGAGATAGGAGGTTTTGGGTTTAGGTTTTTTYCTCCCCCCTTGCATTTTTGGAAATGCCCCACACCGAAGTGGTGGGGTGGTGATGAAGATTGCAGCTACTGAGACTTAACAAAAGCAAATGAAATCAATGCTCTCTGCAACAACAAAAATAAATAAATAAACTTATATAGACCTTAGTCTCATTAATATGTGCCTGTATCCAAGTAACAGAAAAGGTCTCAGATGAGGAAGCCATCAGCAACTTTTTAAATCAAAAAACTGAAGGGGGCAGGGAGCAGTGAGAGTATTTTAAGAGACTGGAGCCCCTGTCGACTGAATTAAGGAGGGTTAACGCAGTTTATACTCGATACAGMACTGTGCTTTATAATCAGTTTACGATGTAATGGATCCTTAGAAGTGCTGGGCATTTTGGTTACACTTAACTCGCTTTTACCACCCTAACCGCACAAATTTTAAAAAATTGTTTATAATATTTTTTAAATCAAAGGATTATTTCAAGCGCAACAGGTCCACTTATACTTTGCAAGTGTGAAGAATCAACCACYCCGTAGTTTCCCCTGGCTGGCGTCCAAACTGGGCTGGACCAGGGCGAGATGGATAACCAACAAAGTGGAGGGAAAGGGGATGCCCAGCCCKGCCAGACTGCGGCCAGGGTTTTCTTTCTTCTGAGCAGGACTCAGTACCGCCCCGGCCTGGTCTAGCTGGGACCTCTGAGAGCGTCCCCTCTCCACCGCCCTGCTGTCCCCGCCCCCTCGGCCCGCTCCAGGGCCCGCTTTCCCAGGAACCACCTACCGCGCGCCGGCTCCTCGGCAAAGGCTTCAAGACTATCAGCTAGGGCAACACCACCGAGCAGAGCGGAAAGAGCGGCTTCTTGCGACTTCCGGAGGAAGCGGAAGCGGTACCGGAAGTGGTGGGGCGGGGCAAAGGAGGTGCGGTACCGAAAGCTCATGGCGGCGCTGATATTAGGGTTCGGCCGGGTTATCCGGTCCCCAGGTGGCCAACTTTGGCGTCTCCTTCCTAGCGGAATCGAGCGTTGGGTGCTGGCGCAGAGGACTGCGAGAGTCTTGTTGACGCAGTGCTGCGCGCGGCATGAGGCGCTGCGGCTGGCCTCCAAGCTCCCCGGCAGTTGCCTGAGAAGCCGGCCCTTAAGTACCGCGGTGCCGCCGCCCCCGGGGTCGTCAGGTCCCGAGTCGAAGGGCARCAGAGACCCCACGCGCCCCTCCAAACCTGGGGTGAGTGTACGCCTGGAGCCCTTCCGGCTCCTGTCGCCGCTGTCCGCAGCCGTTCCATTTGGTCAAACCTAAGAAACTACTCGGTCAGGCCTGAAAGTGTCCTCAGCTTGGCGGTTTTACCTGCCTAATGGAATGTCATCCCGTTTCCCCTGGTTTATCAGTAGCCCGTGTTTACGAGAACTTGAAAACCAACACCTTCTCTGCGGGGATAGATACTTGGGCTTGGACTTAACACATAGATTCCAGTTTTTCCTTAAGGTTCTCAAACCACTATAATTGAAGAGCCAGAGCACGTCTATAATTTCTGTCTGTTGAATCCCCCTTCTGAAATTGAAACAAAGGTGATTTTAGATGTGTGCATACACCTATTTCTTGGGTCCCTCTCCCCCACCCCCCAGTTCTAGTTCTGACCCCAAAAGAATTGAGAGCTACTACCCTCTAGTGACAGGTGAGAGAACTGGGTTTTCGGAGCTGTGGAAAGGGTTAATGAGCTCCGCCTAGGTGGCAAACATCTTATTTTGAAACTTGAAAGAGCCTGGAAGTAATATGATGCAGTTTGCAAAATTTCACTTATTTTATGTGCATTTTCAGTTTTCAGCACAGGCTGGTAATTGTTTTTTTTTAAATCAACAGTTGGAGCAAAGTTCACGCATACTAATAGTCATGGTACTTGACCCTCTTTGGGTTGATTTTCCACATGAACAGAAAATGACTTGGGGGGGGCTTTCCCCTGGAATGAGTACCTTTGTAATTGACTATATTCAGAACTCAGCTATAATTGCCTTCGCAGAAACTTTCAGTATTTTATCATCCTATTGTAACCTGAAACGTTTTGCATATTTAACAAGATCATGACCTGAGTATATGCATATTAAAAACTCCTGAAATTAATTTCAGCATGGTTAAATGTTTGTGACTTACTAGAATTTTTATTTTTTAAATATTTGCCCCAGTAGCCTGTTTCTTGGAAGTCTTTAGCATTCACATTTGCTATTGGAGGAGCTTTATTGGCTGGAATGAAGTACTTCAAGAAAGAAAAGACAGAGAGTAAGTAGATATCATCAGGTCATGTCTGAATAAAATCYTAACTCTGGACTAGCATTTTTTTCATTGTTGTTTTAAAAACTTTGTTTTGAAATAATTTTAGATTCACAGAAGAGTTGCAAAGATGAATAGAAAGTTCCCAGTGTACTTTCACTGAGTTTCTTATATAACCATGGCACATTTATCAAAACCAAACAATTGAAAGTTAGAACAATTAACCACTACAGAATATTTTAATATCACATGTTCAGTCAATGTCTTTTACTTTTCCAAATCAATTCACAATCCCACTTTCCAACAATATTAAAAGACTTATTGCAAATAGATTTGAATGTGTACTGTATGAAGTCCAGAGAATACAAAGATGACTAAAGTGCTATCCAGTCTTTTAGGTGCACATGACAGGGAAACAGACACAGGAAGAAAGGGTTTCACTAGGTTAGATTCTGGCAAACCRGAAGGAAACTCCAGGTGCTGTTAGGGCCCAAAGGAAGGCGCAACTTTGGGGTGAGAGAAGGTTGCCTGAGAGTAGATCCTACAAACCAGTGAGTAGCACCAGAGGCTGACCATGGTTGAGGGAGAGCCAGGCATTGTTGTGTATTAGCATCCTTAATTGTTTAGGGAGAAAAAAAAAAAGAATTTTATATTTTAGTGAATATTTCAGGATTTTAAGATTTGGATTGGAAATGTTAATTAAATCTTTAAAATATTGCTTAAATCTGATTCAGCTCTTAACTTTAGAGCCTGTTTTAGTGGCCATTATACAAAGAATAATGTTTAAATCTGGGAATGAGAATTCATAGACTGTAGAATCTTGGTTCTGTAGAATTTTAGTATAGAATATACGTTTGTATTGATATTGATAAAGATGACTGTTTTGCATTATGATCAGTATTTTATTGATATGGAAAGCAAGGAAAATAAGTGACAAATTTAAATATGCAAGCTTTTGATTTTGGTTTGTGATTTCATTTTACAATAGTGTTTGTTGTCCTTAGAAAATTTACTACGAGGTAACCTTAAGTATTTCTAAATTATTTGATGGTATTTGTTGACATGATGCCTTATCATCTCCAAATACTTTCACTATTTCCTTCAAACAAGAAAATTCTCCAGTGTAATCACAGTATAACTTTAAGAACCAGAAAAATAACATCCATATGTTACTGGCTGAATTGTTCCAGAAGAGGATGAAATAGTTTTGCTACTTTCTAATAGTGCTTATTACATATCAAGGCATTTAATTTGGTTTTATTGTTTTGTGTTTATTTTTCTGAAAAGATTACAAACAATTTGTTCACATTTTGTGCCTCGCCCATGRTCTATTAATATAGTGCTAACCATGTATCAAGTATATTTGGTTAGAATGACTTTTTGRTGTTGTGTATGTATCTTTTTAAGAGCTGGAGAAGGAAAGGCAGCGAAGCATTGGAAAGCCTTTACTTGGGGGACCATTTTCCCTCACAACTCATGAAGGAGAACCCAAAACTGACAAGGATTACCTGGGTCAATGGGTATTGATTTATTTTGGTTTCACTCATTGCCCTGATATCTGTCCAGAAGAACTGGAAAAAATGATTCATGTCGTGGATGAAATAGGTAAGAAAGCCATTGCCAACTCTACACCATTTATGATTACTGTTTTTTTCATTTCCTGCATTATGTTAGGTGGGGCAGTATGAATATTTAGTTTGTAAGAACATAAAATCTCAGCATTCAGCTTGTTTCTTGCTCTGATTCTGTAACCTTCTGTCTACCAAAAGAAACTTGTTTTGATAGTAAATGTTAGATCACTTAAAATCGTCACTGTGGCCTTTCGACGTCCCTGAACTGTGTTTTTGTATAGTGCCTTCTCCCCTGTGATGATTAGATTTGGAAATCTGAAATGATGTGTAGTTAGTAGTATTTTTATTAATACCATTTAGAAGGAAGGGTGCTTTCTCCTTCAAATGAAGAGCTTTGGGATATTTAATCCTTATTAATATTTATTTTGCTCTTGAGATATGGTAGGGGAAAAAACTGTAAACACTGGATCAGATTAGAAAGTAAGATGGCCACATGATGGGATCCAGAGTAACAGTGTTTCCATAACAGCACATGTATTTGATAGGATATTTTACCTGGTTCCACACAACAGACAATAAATATATGGACCTACTCCCGTCCCTGTCCTCTCCACTCCAATGTTAGATGTCCCTTTGTTTCCTTAACAGTTTGCTGTAACACTTGTGAATACTAATTGGAACTTTCTTCCAGATAGTATTCCATCTCTGCCAAATTTAACTCCACTTTTCATCACCATTGACCCAGAGAGAGATACAAAAGAAGCCATTGCAAATTATGTGAAAGGTATGTTTGTTTATAATAATTTATATCTACTTAGTTCTTACAGTTTTTGAAATACCAACTCATTTAAAGCTTACAGTGCCTCTTAAAATAGGACAAACAGCATTATCACCAATTTTACAGGCAAATAAAAAGGTGAAACTCAGTGGTAACCTGGCTAGTTAAGAAATGAGAAGCAGGTTTCTCAATTCCTGGTGCAGCACTCTTTGTATTTTATCAAGAGGAAGCATTTGGCTTGACCTTCATATATGAACTAAAAAGAGCCTTGAATTGAGAGCAAGGACAAATTTCCTCTAGTTCTAGTTTACCTCATTTCCTTTCTTGTAAAATTAGGAGAAACGTGTATTCTGGGAATGTGTACATTGGAAAATTAAAGATGAGTTGTTAAATTTGTATTTTGAACTCATAACACATGTTCAGTTGTTAGTATAAGCAAGTTGTTTAATTTCTCTGGGTTCAAGTTTCTTCAGTATAGGAACTCAAAAATTAGGAATGTACAGTTTAGTTATTGTGCATTTGATTTAATTCCTAGTCAAAACAACCTAGTATGCACATTCTCTAAAACTCCAAGTTATGTAAACATTTTTTTGTGAAGTTCCTGCTATTTATCTTATTACTTTTAACAGATGTATTGAGGTATAATTGACATACAGTTGTGTGCATATTTAAAATGTATAGTTGGTTACCTACTGGTGGGTAGAGTCTGCATAAACTGTAGGCCTCATCAATTTCTTCTTAACTGGTTTACTGGTTCTTGACTCATCAATTTACCTTTTTTTTTTTTTTTTTTGGTGATGGTTCTGGGAATTGAACCCAAGACCTTATGAATGCTAGGCAAGCACTCTACCAACTGAGCTACATGTCCAGCCCTGTCTCATGAATTCAAAGAATGAAACCCACTGAAGAGGAAGAGTGAGTGTAAAAGAGTAGGATTTGTTTGAGTGGGAAGCAAAGATACAGCTCTGGCAAGGCAAGAAGGAACTGGATAGGGGTTGCCACTTAAGTGTGCTAGTCTAGGGGTTTTTGTAGCACTTGGATCATCATTGTTGGTCCAAATTAATGCTAATCAGGGTTTGAAAAATATTAATGCTATTGATTGGTCCTGTGATCCCTATTTGGGTTTGCCCCACTTTCATTTTCCTTCTGATCTGTGAGGTTGATAGATCATGATCCTGGGCTCCAGGCTGAGGCTGTATGTGGAGCGGGTGTCTGCACCAGGCCGTAATCAGACTGCTTGGGTATGACAGGCCGTAGTGCCCTAGCTTGCCACAGCCCATGCTTACCACCTGCTGTATAGCCTACCTCAGCTACCTCTGCTTTTCATGGAGTTTAGTGAGTTGGCTATGCTACTAGGTGGCTGGGGAGCATGTCACTTTCACCATAATCAAACAATGAACATCTCCATGACCCATAAAAGTTTCCTTTTCCTTTGTTAATCCTCCCATCTCCATGCAATCACAAAACTGCTTTCTATTATTACAGTTACATAATAGTTGCCTTTGTTAGTGGCTTTTATAAATGTAATTATAGGGGCTGGGTTATGGCTCAGTGGTACAGCACTTGCCTAGCATGTGTGAGGCACCAGGTTTGATTCTCAGTACCACATATAAATAAATAAAATAAAGGTCCATTTTTAAAAAATGTAATTATACAATATGTACTCTCTTTGAATGCCTTCCTTCAGCATTGTTATTTTGAGATTCCCYTATGTTATGACATGTATCATAATCCATTCCTTTTATTATTTAAGTAGACACTGATGTACAGTTTTTTTTTCCAGTTTTACTTATGATAAGTAATAACTTTTAAGTATAAGTCTTTGCATGGACACWTGCTTTCATCTGTCTTGAGTAAACAACTAGGTATAGAATGACCAGATCAGATGGAGTATATTTTACTTTTTAAGAAACTAGGGGCTAGGTTGTGGCTCAGTAGCTCAGTAGCAGAGCACTTGCCTCACACATGAAGCACTGGGTTCAATCCTTAGCACCACATGAAAAACAAACAAAAATAAAGATATCATGTCCACCTATAGCTAAAAAAATTTTTAAAATTTATGAAAAAAAGAAACTAACAAACTTTTCCAATTTGATTGTATACTTTTACATTTCTGCCAGCAGCAAATGAGAGTTCCAACTTCATATTTATACCACCCTTTGTATGGCAATGTTTTTAATTGTAGCTACTCTAATGGTAGTATCTTATTGTGCTTTTAATATCATTTCTGTAATGACTATTAGCATTTTTTAATTTCTTATTTGCTACCTGTGAAGTGTCTGTTCACATCTTTTGTCTATTGTTTTTGCATGTGTGTATGTATGATTGTATATATGAGTATATTAGTTTTACTCTGGATACAAGTCCTTTATCAAGTATTTGATTTGCTAATATTTTTTCCCAGTTCTATGGCTTGTCATTTCAATCTTTTAACAGTGTCTTTTGAAAAACAGTTWTATTTCTGATTAAGTCCAAGGGTATCAGTTTATTCTTTTATATGTAGATTCTTTTGTTTGGTGTATAAGAAGTCTTTGCCTAACTCAAATTGACAGATATTTATGTTTTCTTCTTAATGTTCATAGTGTTTGTTGGGCACARTGGTGCATGCCTATAATCCCAACTACTTGGGAGGCTGAGGCAGGAGGATTGTAAGCTGGGCAACTACCCTGCCTAAAAATAAAAAGGTCAGGGAATGTGACTCAGTGATATATTCCACCCAGGCTCGATCCCAGTACCCCCTGCCAAAAGGGAGAAAAGAATAGAAAAAAATTAAAGTTTTTTGTTGTTGTTTTATACATTTAAGCCAAATTTATGTAACTTGTAAGATTTTCAGAAATTTAGCCAATAGCATAGTTTTGTCCAAAAGCMATTAAAAGCAGCTATTTATAAATTAACTCGTGGGGTAATACACAATCTCTAATTTAAATGTGTTTATTAGCAGTTATTCTTATCACATATTACTAAAGCATAATATTCTCAGATGAATAGATTCCTGAGTTGCTGTAACTAACTGAAACACCAACTTTGTGGTAATTTTCTTCCACAACACATACACACATTTATTGCTAGTTACATTTGGAAATGAAATAGATTAAAATTTTTTAAGTTAGTGTTTTTGAAAATTTGCAGTTTCAGAGGTTCAACTTTTAAAAAGTTTGGATATGCAGCTAACTAGGCTTTGTTCACCTTTCTCATTATTTACTCAAAGAGTAAAAAAGAAAAATAAGCCAACTTGCTTTTTCAGTACCCCAGTCATTCCTCAATTTAGAATGGATTAGTCCAAGGAACAAACATGGGCTTGTGTACCATTGGACCAAATGTTCGATTGGTATTTCAGTAGTCTGATGAATCCAGTGTTTTAAACTTCCATTAGCTCATTTACATACATTTCAAAAACTTTAACAGCATGTGCATGCTATGGTTTACCCTGATCCCTGAGTTTACTATAATTGGTCCTTGAAATGATGGATATCAATTGTTCAGCTCTTTATCAGAAATTAAGAGTAGCACCTAATATCCATTTTAAGATATTGGAAAATAAGATGCAGATTTTTTTTTTTTAGAGAGAGAGAGAGAATTTTTTTAATATTTATTTTTCAATTTTTGGTGGACACAACATGTTTATTTTATTTTTTTATGCAGTGCTGAGGATCAAACCCAGAGCCCTGCACATTCCAGGCGAGCGCGTTACTGCTTGAGCCACATACCCAGCCCCAGATGCAGATATTTTAATATGATCTTAAATGTTTTTTTCTCATATAAGCAATTAAAAACTAGTACTTAATACATGGGAATATTTTTAAACTTCATTGTATTTCAACTATATATTTTATAAAAGCACATTAAAGTGTCATTTAAATTATTGGAATGTATTCCCTCTGGATCTTTCCTAATCAGTCATAAAAAGATTTGAATTTCTATATGTAGTTCAGAGGAGAATTTCATTTGTTCTATGTGAATTTTGAAAATGGACTGGGGTCGTGGCTTAGTGGTAGAGCACTTGCCTAGCATGGTTAAGGCACTGGGTTCCATCCCCAGCACCACAGCAAAACAMCCAAACACAACAACCAAATAAAACTTTCAGCATATGAATCATGAAAAAGTGTTTGGGGATTCACAGGGGGAAAAGTAGCAATGGCACTGTTTTATAACTGATGTTATTTTATTTTATTTTTTTGAGGTAGCAATGTTTATTTTGTTTGCTTCTCATTTTTTACTGTCTTTCTTGTTTTATTTAGAATTTTCTCCCAAACTTGTTGGTTTGACTGGCACAAAAGAAGAGATTGATCAAGTGGCCAGAGCATATAGAGTATATTATAGTCCTGGCCCCAAAGATGAAGATGAAGACTACATAGTAAGTCAGTGTTCTGCTTTTAACCCACAGGCTAGCTCCTAGATCTTGAATATTTATAAAGCATGACTGACTGGCTTCCAAGATGAAAGAAAGCTTGAGATTATGGCARATTCCTTGGGATATTTAAAAGAATAGAATTATTTATATATGTGTGTGTGTTACTGGAAATTGAACCCACAGATGCTCTGCCACTGAACTTCTTCCGCAGTTCATTTTATTCATTGTTTTGGAAGTTACCCAGGTTGGCCTTGAACTTGCAATCCTCCTTCTTCAGCCTCCTGAGTAGCTGGGATCATAAGTGTACACCACTGCACCCAGCAAGAAGCATATGTTTTAAAAATGACTTTAGTTTATATTTGGTGTTTTTATAATTTAATTGGATATCTATCCTTTCTAGTGGCACATAAATCTATGAGGCAATATAAAATCAGATACTTTGGTACTATGTTACAAATGAAGAGGAGCCATTTTGTGGAGGCAAGGCTTACTTTAGTTTTAGTTTAAAAAACATTTTATTGGTTTTCTTTGTGTCCTTAATGAAGAGGAGTAAGAAATAAGCTTCTTTATAGAAGCAGTTGTAGGTCATGATGAATTGCATTTTGGGTTAGGTGAGTGTTCTGAAAAGCAGGAGAAAAAAATGAAAGCTGATGAAAGGTAGATTTTCTGTGAAGTTTATTTGCATATCAACTATGTGCCTTGCACAGTTTGATTTAATGTATGTTTTTTAATGAGGAACAGAAATTCTAGTAAGTTCTTCATATATAGCTCTTGCATTAAAGAGCTGCCTTCATGTGCACCAGCACTCATGGTGCTGCAGCATCAATGGACATAGCACTGCCCCCACTCCTACCCACTGTTTTCTTCTCAGTACAGTTTTTCCTATCACATTTGCATTGACACTGTATTGATATATTATCACAGATTTTCTTTCAATTGTTATACTCTGGTTTTTCTGTATTAGTTGAGCAAAGTGATTAATCATAAGAGCCTTTCCAGCTACAAAGCTGATTTGGGGTGTGTGGAGGGGCAACACCTTGATTCATTGATCCTCCCGCTCTACGTGGTGTATCCTTAGAGCCACGGGCAGAAGGGATCTCTCATTGCAGTACTTTGTCTCTACTGCCCACTGTGGTTTCTGCATCGTCTGAACCTGGAACACACTGTGCGCCCCTATAGTTTGTAGCCGAAATTAAAAGCAGGCTTTTGACCCTTCTGTCTTAATCAAGCCCACAGAGTTATTGTGTGCACCTTCTAGGTCCGGTTCTTCATAGTGTTAGGGAAACTTGGGTTCATGGGWGAAGAGGACAAGAGAAAATCAACATTTTTTCTTAAGCCCTGAGTTTAAGGGAAGTGGACAGACCTTCCTGTGGTTTCCTCTTAAGCACTGGAGACATAAAAAGAAAGAAGAGCAAAGGGGTCCCGGGGCCAAGATAGGAAGTCATGGGCAAAGGGACTTTTTACACTTCTGTGCTTTTTCTATACAGAGTTATTTTAACTGGTTTTGAGTTTAACTAATATGACAGTGGGAGCAGAGGAGCCTTATACGAACTTTTTTATAAGTATGTACAACCTAAGCTTGGTAATTCTCCTTAGGCTTGTCTTACAGTTCTAATTATGTCAACAGAAATTTTACAAATGAAACTTGATAGCTTGTGAAATTTAAATTTATAATATCCAGTTAAAATATCAAGAGATCTCTTGCTAAAACCAAAATGCTGCTTACCACAGAAGTGGGGTTTGGGTCAAACTGCTATCAGATATCCAACTGTACTCTAGCTGCCCCTCTACGATTTTCTTTGATTGTGTAGTTGCCTTCATTGATTGGTCTTGATGCAGCGAGGATACATCATTTTCATGTTTAAAGCTAGTAGTATATAGCTAGGTGCCAGCAAGATCAGAAAACAAAGCAAACACGGGTTCGGATCCTGAAATTTGATTTCATAATGCAGCTAATCCAGAATGAGGATATTGATTTTTTAATATTAAAAATTAAAATGTAAATATATGTCTTATGGAGACTTCTTTGAGCCTTTAGAATGTGTCTTTGATTCTATTTTGAGATATGCTTGGTCTACTGAGGTAGAATTTGATCTTTTGATAAGCATCAGAGTTCATTGCTATACTTTTGCTAAATCAACCAATAGGGGGAGACACTCTCCAGCTTCTTAGGTTTTTCATTAGTATAACTTATATCCCCTGAAGTTACAGATTTTCACACACAAGATGGTATGGGAGACAAGAAGGATCTAGAGGCCTRCACCAGGCAAGGTGGTGTACACCTATAGTCCTAGCTACTCAGGAGGCTGAGAACAGATCGCCAGCCTGGGCAACTTATTGAAACCCTTTCGCAAAATAAAAATTTTTAAAGGGCTGGGAGTACAACTCAGTGGTAGAGTGCCCCTGGGTTCCATCTCTAGAAGCACCAAAAAAAAAGAAAGGACCTATGAGGAGTAAGGGAGTAAAGATCAACCTGAGGTGGAATTGAGATTTTCCTAATGTCAGACAACAGTAATAAAAGGTAAGCTTCTGAATTTTGAATGGACTCTTTAGACTGAGAGTATATGTAAATTGGGCATGGCAAACACTCGGGATTCCTTTTAAGCTAAGTCTGTATTATATATTAAAGTTTTGCTTTATTTTATGAGCATTAGTTGGGAAATACTTTTGGGTGAAAAAAAGAACACAGATTGCTTTCAAACCTAGGAAAAATTCAATTTCATAATAAAAGAAATGAGTTTTTTTAATGTAATGCCATTTTTTAACCTATTACTTCAGCACTGGTCAGAAAGTTTGAAAATGTATTGTCAATATATTGTTAAAATTGGAAATACACTGTTGGAATGTATCTGGAACAACAGGCACTTCCATGCATTATTGATAGGAATTAAAACTGATACACTCATCAAGGGGGCTTTTTGGCAGTATATATCAATATCTAAAGTCAAATGCTTTCTTTAGCTCAGAGATTCTACTTTTGGGAATTTATCCTATGCACTGTAGCATTGTTTGTAAAGAGAAAGGACTGAAAACCAAGCAACCATTATTTTAAAAGCTATTATATACGTATTGATACAGAACAATGATCTGAATATTGTTAAGTGAGAAGAAAGAATGGTATGTTACTGATGTATAAAAATGAATATGGGGCAGAAAATTTCTCTGAAAGAATGCAGTGGTTCCTTCTGAGAACTGAGGGATTCAGAACAGGAAGAAGACTTTAAAATATATAAATTTATTGAATTTTTATGTGCATGCATTTACCTTTTGGAAAAAAGTGTGCGTGTGTGTGTGTGTGTGTGTGTGTGTACACAAGTTGGCATTAAAAGATATTAGTTGCTGTTGCCCAGTAGAATTAGAGATTAGCAGCATGATGATTAAAAAAAAATATTGTGGACTTTAGAATCAGGAGGATGCTTGAGTTTCAGGTGAGGGTTGGCATTCTCTAACTTACCCTCCCCAGCATGTGCACCATTTGTACAAGAAAATGCCTATCTCAGGAGTGGAAACAACATGTGAAAGAATGTGTCAGTTACAGCTAGTTTCATTCTTCTACTAGGAACTACTAGAACTTTTAACAGATGTCAATTTTGCCCTGCCCACAACTCAGATGAAATATTGAGAAGTGACCACTGACAAGTGTGACAGATATGGATCAAAGAATGTATTGGAAAGTAGTTTATATTGAGAACACTCAGAGAATAAGTCCAGCATAACTGCAATTATGGTTTTTAAGAGTGAGAGAATATAGGAAAAATAATAGAAAAAGGAAGACATGGGATAAAGAGATGCATAAGCAACAGAGTAAGGTTTGACTAGAGAACTGGAGACTTAATTCTAATTTCTCTGTCAAATATGTAGAGAAATGTTAAGCCCCTGTCTTGGTCCTGCAGTAAATTCTTCCATAGCACTTGAAGTCACCAGCTGTTTGAGCTCTCCTGCATGCATTCTTTCCTTATGGGGTAGGCAAGTGGCTCTTTCCATTTGCTATGTCTTTATGAATGTATTATATAAAAAATAATAATCTCACAGACATATAATGTGTTTGGGGATATATTTGGGGAGTGCTCCAGTTGGTATGTGTGAGCACATTCCTGTCTTCCTGTCTCGCCAAATAGCAATCAAGCCTGCGATAAATCCCAAGGACTTATAGTGCCAAATCTGCTCTTTAAAATTGGATTTTGTGGAAACAGCTAGCTAAAAAGATTGATGACTAATCTGAACTTAAGTTAGAGGGACACTTTAAGAACTTAATCAGAAAAATAGATGCTAGATTTTAGTAGACTCCTTGGGGATATAGTATTTATAGCTCCTGAGGCACTTCCAGGTGATTTGCTTCAGATGGTGTTCATGATATATAAAAATGTGGTAGGGGAGAGAAACATGCCTTCCTGTTTCTATTTGAATTACTAATATCAGGACTAAATATTGTATTAGGACATTAGACAAGGGAATAGTTTTCTGAGTTCTCATAAAATATGGTAAGCAGAATTTGGACAATAATGAGTTCTATCTAGAACATAAAGGAATACACCCAAGAACTTGAAAGGAAAGTAATTTTTTACCAACACTTAATTTCACGGGGCATCTCTATTACCCTGGTTAAGGGGTTAGCTGAGATACTTTACTCAAAAATATAAGGTATTTTCAAAGTAGAATTGCTCTTCTACAAGCACTTATGATCTTATGAAGCCTGCAACAGCCATTTTTACCAGGTGGGTTCTTTCTTAGAGATTAGATATATGGGGGTGTTAAGAATTTAATCAAAAGAACTCTGGGTGCTAGCTGACGTTACAGGCAATAGCTGGTAAAGATTTTTGGAACACAGAGTTTAGACAATCCATTGCTATRAATTTACTATATATAAAGAGTCCATTCCATAAAAATAGATGCATTGCAATGGTTATTAGTTCTCTTATTCTGTAGTATTTATTCAGTAAAATAAGTGGTCTCTTTTGTTGATCTTTTTGTCATCTCTCTCCCTCTACCTTTCCTCTGCAGGTGGATCATACGATAATAATGTACTTGATTGGACCAGATGGTGGGTTTCTAGATTATTTTGGACAGAATAAGAAGAATGCAGAGATAGCTGGCTCAATTGCTGCACACATGAGGGCACACATGAAAAAGAGGTAGCCAGAGCAGCATCGTGGATGTTGTTCTCTTGCCAAAGAGGACGGAAGCTTTGTCTCCCATAGGAGCCAATGTACATAATATGCAGCCTACACGAGAACATCTATGTGCTATATGAGATGTTCCCCTTGGATTCAGCCAAGATTCTTGAACTGTGAGGATCACAACCCACAGTTTCCCATGTAGCCACCATGCGTCCAGAGGACCAAGTTAAAATGAAGGCAGTGGAGAGCAGAGCTCCCAGAAAGACACCTCAGGGAGAGGCACCGGCATGCCCTTGAACAGGGCCCTTGGAGCAATATTGCCACTTCCCCTGTGTGTTGGACCCTTCCTTGCTCACACAGATTGTGGGACTGAGTTTTACAGAAAGAAGTGTAATTCCATAGTGCTCTCGCTGTTTTTGCCTTGAAYTCCTGATAGCTGGTAACAGTTGTGTTCAGCACTCGCCATTCAGGGCTAAATTTTATACTTGAAAGCAAAAGCTTAGTCTTCCTTGTTAACGAACATCACGGTCAGTCTTGCCTTCACTTCTCTGGCAGCAGATGCTGATTTGACTAATGAAGACGAATAATCTGTCATTTGGACTAAACTGTTAGTTCATTTCCTCTAGGGGTCTTTTTTATGATTTTTTTTTTTTAAGCTAAATGATTTGCCAGGTTTTCAGTGATATGCCAAATGAAAATCAGRGGACATAGATACTAGGGGTGACGCAGACTATGTGTGTGTTCCACATTGCACTGWGTTTAAAATAAAGATATATTTAGCTTTCCAACTTGGACAAGCATGACTTTTCTTCTGGGTAGAGCGTGGGTGTGTAATGGCAGCACACATCTCTCAGGGCAGAGACCCATAAACTCGGGTGGGTGGGTGGGTGCATGTTAAAACACAGGGTTCCAGGGCTGGAGCTTCATTCTGAACAGACATCCCCGCTGAACAAGATGCTGGTGATCTGGCGACCACACCTGCAGTCAGAGTTTAATAGAGAAATAATGATAAGCCATCCTTTGGTTGGATGTCTGTTGGCCATTCAAGAAAATGATCCTTGAGTGAAGAAATGAATTTTGGCTTTTGTTCCTAATTTTGACTTCCCTGGTCCCGGGTTGGACCATTACCATTTTCTATTTGAAGCTTCTGCTCTAGGCCAAGTTCTCTGAATGTTTTCATTCAATCCTAAGCTACTACAAGTATAATGCCTAGTTGAAAAACATTCTTTTTACACATCAATTGTGTTTTACGTACACATGAGGTAGGCCTATCTTTTGGCTTTTAAATTCTTAATACTTAATGTTAAACAATAGAAGTATTTTTATCAAAGTGAAAGAAAATTTTAAAAAACTATAGTTAAAACTGAAGCATGTTCTCTAAGATTCCTGTGTCATAATCAAACCACCGAACTTCCAAATGTGATTGTATTTGGAGATAGTAATTAAAGAGGTGATTAAAATGAGACCATTAGGGTAGGTCCTCCCTTAGCCAATATTACTGATTTCCTTAGTAAGAGCTAGGGACACATGCACAGCAAGACCCTGTCAGAGAGAGAGGTCTCCAGAAGAAACCAACCTGCCGACACCTTGTTCTTAGAATACCAAGCTCCAGAATGGTGAGAAGATACAAGTTGAAACTACTGGCACTTCGTTAGGGCAGGCCTAGGAAACCAGTGCAGTAGCCCATTCCTTAAACAGCTACAAGATGTTCACTTACCTCATCGGTAGTTGGTTTGGAATGACTTTCTCAGTAATCTTATCAAGAAAGCAAGGAGGAACTTATTAAAAGACTAGTCTTGGGTAACAAGACAGATATTAAATATCTGAAATGCCAACCATTTAAAAAGATGGTCTGTTTTAAGTCCCAAGCCATTTGTGTGGCTCACTTTGCAGTAAGCTTGCTCTTGGATAAAATGTGGCCTTCATTCTCAGCTGTTGCCAGATAGAGCTTGTGAAATGATCCAGAAAGGGAACAGCAACTTTTGAAGAAATGTTTTATTTGCTCTTCATTCCAGTGTCGAGTTTAAAGGCTTAGAGTCAGGATGATAGAAGCAGGAAAGGGGGCCCCTGAAATTTTTATTCATGAAGTATCCACTTCTAGATAATAAAGGTGTAAAACTCAGGTCCCAATTTATATTCTGGTCCCTGCATGTTCCATGGCTATGGTGTGCATATGGTGATCACATAAATTAAGCCCAAACTGGGGGTTCCAGGCTGCCTTTCAATGGATTCTCACTTGAAGATCTTTATCTGAGTAGGTTAGAGTGTTTTCACTGGGCTCTTAAATAGAATTAATATTTTTTAAAATGCTTTTTGTTTATTTGAAAAATATAAGAGCCCTGTCAATGGAACAGGCATGAAAGTACTTACTTGTACATGGGTTTGTGAGGCAACTGATGCCTGGGGTAGAAGAGCTGAGATTTATTGAGTCGGGAGGCTCATAGGAACCCAGGAATATGATATGAAATTGTAATGTGTCTACATAGGATTTAAGTATCTCATTTTTGAACATAAGGTTAAAATAAAATTTTCAACCATAACCTCCCAAACAACTTTATTTTTTTACATATAAAAAATTAAATCGTGTGTACATGAATTGCTTTTGAAAGATCAGTTGTTCATGTAAGCATTTTTCATCCGTTTGGTTTATACTTTGTAATGCTAGTTATGAGTGACATGACTGATGATATGGGTATTCATTCCTGTTACTAATGAGGTGCAAGTAATAACCTCTGTAGCCATGTCTTCATTAATAACATTTTTTAAAGTTAGGAGGTAATTATTTTGTTTATTTTCTAAGTGTATTTAAAGCTCTTTCATTCTGCTTTCATAATTATACCATGTCCTCAATAGAGAAAGTTTGGATTGTGCAGAAAACTTGAAGGAAGAACACTTAAAATCATTGTTGTTCCACTGTGAAAAAAATGCTATTTGGATGCATTTCCTTTCAATCTTCAGCATTTTTGTATAAATCTTTTTTTGTACCAGAAATTCACAAAAGCATTCCTTTAAGACAATTAGACATGATAGATGGAGCTCAAGTCTCTGTCTCCCCCATCCTTGACCCCTCCTCACAAGTAACTACTGTTTTGTGTTCTGTGTGAATCTTCTCAGAATGTTTAKAATCCACTTAGGCTGGATTCCCAGGATCAATTTTTATACTAAGACTTAGTAAAAAGTGTTATTATCCTGACACACTGATACTACTCAATTTTTATAATTACTGGTTTTGGTGAGTATTGAAGGTCCCCCTCTCCCTTGCCAAGGCTAGATAGTGGGTTGTCAAGAGGAAAAAGTAGTTGGCAAGGTAAATTTTTAATTTTCCCCTCACCCCAACATGCACACATACCCACTGGAGTGTGCTTGGGATGATGCTCAAGGAACAGCAGGAAGCCCAGCATGACTCAAGTCATGGGAGATCATCATTCAGTTTTAGCTGTAGTTCTTGTTTTCTTTGATAAAAATACTTCTTTAGGTTTAACGTAAGTATTGAGAATTCAAAAGACAAAAGGGAGTCAGAACCATGAGAATGAGAAGATCAGAGAAGAGTCCAGGAGCCACAATCCAGAGGATTCTGGGAATCAACGGACTTTGGTTTTATTTTTAAGTGTTGGGAGAAGCCCTAGAACCACTGAGAACAGGAGCCTAACCCAGTCCATCAATCCAAGGACTTTTATGGTTTGGATGTGAAGTGTCCACCAAAGCGCATGTGAGACAATGTAACTTGAGGGTTTTTTTATTTGGAAATTTTCCAACCTATTCAAAGAATAGAATGATCAACTTGACACACCATCACCAATACTTAATCAACACAGTGATTTATCTTGTTTCATCTACCCTCCCCCATAGTTCAATTGCAGCCTGTATCTCTAAAAGTGACTARTTCTGTCATTTAAAAACACAACCACAATCCCAATGCCAAAAATCTGCTTTGTATTAGTTATTAGTATTTGTGTTAGTATTTCCTTATTCTCGTTTTCTGTTGCTGTAACAAAATACTTCAGGAAATAAAAGGAGAAAAGTTTTATTTGTGATTATGGTTCCAGAGGTTGCAGTCCCTGGTCTCTTGGCTCCATTGTGTCTGGGCCTCTGTTGAGGCACAACGTCATGGCAGGGAGAACATGGTGGAACCAAACAGCTCACCTCCCAGCAGTCCCAAGCAAAGGGTACATTCCCTTCTTCCTAACTTCTCCCATTTGTTCCCACTTCTTACAGGTGATACCATTTCCCAGTATTGCTACAGGCTGGTGACCAAACCTTAAGCACATGGCCTTTGGGGTCATTTAAATCCAAACCATAGAATTACTTAATACCATCAGCTATCCAATCAATAAGAACATGAGTTATTGGACTTTAAGAACATCTTGGACTTGAAGGAGCCATGACACTGTTCATCATGGAGGTGTGTTCTGTTCATGTCGACATGTGACTTTATGTCCTCGTTTACACCCAGGCCAAGGAGGACATGAGGGGGTTAGAAAGCGAATCCCCCAGACCTCCCSTTCCATTCCCAATCATGGGGGGTGGTATTCAGTTTGGGCCTGGTTAGAAAAACCAACCTACTTGTGTTTGGGGTTTTTTTTTTTGTTATTGTTGTTTGTTGTTTTGTGGGGGTTTTTTGTTTGTTTGTTTTGTTTTTCTTTTTGTATAAAACAGGGATAACTCTGTTATGATGAAATAAGATGCTGGGAGAACAGGGAAGACTAACCTCCAGAAATAGAAGTCAAAATAGAACTTGGCTGAGGCAGAGTTGGATGGTTATTGATTGAAAAGTGTCCAACCGAATCTTCCAGAGCAATGGAAATATTCTAAATAGCTTGATCCATGTGATGACTTACATACTTAAAAGTGTATTAAGCTTTAAACATAAGATTTATGAACTTCACTCTGTAAAATCTATACCTCCAAAAAAAAAAAAATGGAGGGGAAGATGAGTTCCTGTGACAGGCAGACTTGAAAGGAAACAGGTCTGTGGTATGAAGAAAGCATTAGTAACACTCAGCAACTTGCGAGTTTGGACAGTGATGCGAGCTCCTGCCCAGATTGCCCATGGAGGAGAGGGAGTGAATGGAGATGCACAGAAGGTGGAACCTTCAGCAAGCTCTGAGGAAATCAGAGGAATGCAGACAGAAAAGTAGGACTGAGGTGTGATGAGGCAGTCGCGGCACAGTAAGCTGTACTTAAGATCTTTCTTCTCACCCCACTGTCAGGTACAGGAAATCCATAGCTTCAGTGCCCGCCCACCCTACCCCCCCCCGCCATGTGCAGGATAGCCACTAAAGCTGGCCCTACTTTGAGAGGCAGAGAAGTTTTCTCCTGAGACTTTTGCAGGCTTTCAGGGACCCAGGATACTGAGGTAAGAACAAGCCGGGGGAGAACAGGCCCGTTCCCTGTTACCTGCTGTAGTGAGCAGCGGTGCTTGTCGGTCAAGTTGAGATGACTCCAGTGATTCTTGTGCCCACTAGAGTCCCACTTTATGAAGCAAAAACACCGCCAAGTGTAGGGTACATCACCCTCGTACCTGAGCCATCTCAAGTATTCCCAGGCAGGTCCATAGTGGTGGTCCATTGTCCGTTTTCCATTCAAGGATGACACAAAGGTAAGGGACCYAGGCTGAGCTTTGTAGAGGCGTGAGAGCTTTCCAGTCTCTAGAGGAAGAGGTACTGAGTCTTGACCTCTGCATCTGCTGGGCTCCAAGATCTTGTGATGAACTTGAGGTGATTCTGCCATCATGGTATTGGGTGTGTCCAAACCCACCCTGCTGGG